TGGTGCAATTTAGTAGTCCACTCTCGCTTGTTGGATATGAGATGATTATAGCCAACTCGGCGCTACGCGCCTCGTTGGCTATCTATCATCTCATATCCAACAAGCGAGAGTGGAATAATTGTTAATTATAAGATATTTGATTATCATGCAATAGACAAATATGTTAGAAGCCATCCCTCAGGTACATTTGTACTATTAGAAGTACCATCTATTCGGGGCTTAGTACAGTATTTCTAGACTATACAAGTATTTCTAGACTATACGCTCCCTCAGTGACAATTATGAACTCAGAGGAGTGCAGATTAGTACATATGAAAAAACTGCAGTGAACAGTTTGAGAGAAGAACACAACTGCCCTTGTAAACAATGCTCTTCAGTAGGGCTTTATGCATATGCTAGTCAGTTGCAAAGTCTTGTAGTTATTGGAATTCCAGAACCCTATGTTGCATAGCTGACCAAGGAAATAAATTCAATCGTAACATGGGCATCAACAGGCGTCTAAAAAGGGCAGATTTATACACGAGTTGAGATATCAGTCCAACTTAAAGCTTAAAGCGTGTAGCCCGACTTACGATCTTAGATCGTCTTGTTGATTCATAATACATTTCATATATTTCCAGTATAGTTTTACTTTGGCAGTACAATGACAAGTAAGTAAGTAAAAAAACTAGTTGGACGAAATAAATCGGAATCCTAACCCAGTCGAGCAAAGAACGAAGGAACGAAAGAGGCGAACTGCGCTAATTAGATATTTGATTGCAAATTAAATATTGGAGGGTGAAAAACTCTCCTCCCCCCTGCTGGGTCATTTTAGCACTTCACATTGGCTCGCTATCATCCCTAACCTTGGTCAATTGGGGCTAGTGTTATACATTGTTTAGACTATCTTCGAGGGGATCATGGGGTTTTCAAGAAATAGAAAGGGGGTGGGGAATCAGTCGTCATTAACGAGTATGAAGACCAGTATAAAGGGAGATTATTGATAATTAACAAATGGTAAACACCACAGCGTACACTATTGAGTTATGGATGCACGCGGGAGGTTGCTAAGCACGAAAGAAGCGTAAGAGTCGCTCGAGGCGATAGCCGAGAGCGACTCTAGCTTCTTGAGTGCTTAGCAAACCTCCCAAGTGCATCCATAACTCAATAGTGTACGCTGTGGTGTTTACCATTTGTTTTATAACATAACATTGATACATTGTAGCTAAAGAGTTCCCTTTTATTTAACAAATCTTACG